CTTTGAAAACCAATATTACCCTTTTCCCTCTCAAAATTTTTTGAATTGTTTTTAATTTCATTTTTAATTTAAAAAATCTGTTAGTTTTTATTGTTATCCTAATATGACGGTAATAGGTTGTTCTAGCGTTTTCGCAAATCACAGGGGTTTACGTTTGAACCCTTCCCTCTCTCTCTCTCTCTCTCTCTCTATATATATATATATATATATATGTGTGTGTGTGTGTGTGTATGTGTGTGTGTAATCTTTTGTCAACCAATTCATTTATGTTAACTATACAAACTCTTTAGACCAATGGAAATCAAACTAGTATCATGGTTCATAGATTCTTGTGTAGTTAATGATTGGGGGCAAAATAGTAATGTTATATTTTGTATTAATTTAATGCATTTAAAAGGGAGTTACATAACTCCTTGAATTTAGCCATTTTAATATCATCAATGTGTTTTAAGTTATATTGTTTGTGATTGTTCATAAACGAATATATTTTAAGAAATAATCAATAACATTTCGACAGTCAACATCCTTAATCGAATGAGTTCGTTGTGCCTGGTGTATTGTATGATATGAATGATCAACATGAACATGGCAGCAACAGCATGCATGAACGTGCACTCGATGTTCAATAATGAACATTGTTCACATTGACAACTTGTTCATTGGTGAACATTCACCAGTCACAAATACGTACACATTAAGATATGTGTTCACTAATGAACATGTTTATATATGCTATATTTTCATTGGTGAACAATGTTTATAAGCTACTCATATATGACAATTATTAATTAGTTCACACCATTGATAAGTTACACTTACATAATAATTGAAGTAGTAATTAAAACTTGATGTCGGTTTCAGAACGATGGAGTAATTAGCTGGAAAGTATTTAATGCTAAAATAAATCTCCCTAATTTTTTTTTCAAAATTATATTTTGTTCATGAGTGTTCACCTATGTTTATCAATAATCCTTTCTTAATTTATTAAAAAAAATGCTATGATGAATTTTATCCATAGTTCACATAGTTAACACCAATTACTGGTTTAACAATTGAACAAGCCCCTATATATATATATATATATATATATATGAGAAGTAAAGAAGTGATCGTAACCCTTTATACGGTCAAGATTTAATTTGACTGGTCAATAATTATGGCTTTGACAGGTCAAAAATTGCAGCTATGCGAAAAATAGAGAGGGTAGTTTCTTAACTTTTACAAATAGGTGGCAAGCGGGTTCATATATGAATTATATGTTCATTTGTGAACTCGTGTAATTCACATATGAATTATTTTAACTGATTCATATATAAACTCGTGTGATTCACATATGAACTAATTAACTAATTCACAAATGAACCCTTATGATTCACATTAGAACTAATTAACTGATTCACATATGAACCCGTGTTATTCATATATGAACTAACTAACGTGTTCACATATGAACATATATTTCATATGTGTATCACATGAGTTCAAATATGAATCTCTTTGCCTCCTATTTGTAAAAGTTATGAAACTTCCTTCTATCTTCTGCATACACATGTGAAAAATTATTCGGTGTTTCATGGTTAAAGATGCAAATGTTGACCAAATGAATGATTAAGATCACTTCTTTACTTCTTAAATATTTAGCACGTCTGAAATGAACCTTCTTCCCCCCCCCCACACACACACACATATATATATATATATATATATATAGAAAGAGAGAAAGAGAGAGACGCATAATCATTTACAAACTTAATTATAACAGTTCGAAGCCCAAAGCAACAGACTGACGCAATAGCCTTAAATCCAACTTAAATTCATGGTGGAATATATTGGTAGCCCACAACTTGAGCCTTATAAGGAGTTCACAAATCCCATTTTCAATCCATGTGAGACGAGTTGTTACACCAATAAATCGTACAAACTTACATAACAATTTTCATGTATTGTTTCACATATGAAACAACATGTATGAAAAATGTAATGTTTATACAATGTTGTTTCATATGTGAAACGTTCAAGATTGTTCAGTGTGTAGAAGGAAAAAAAACAATCATAAACGTTCTTCATATGAAACAATATTATATAAATACTGTATTTTCACAAAACACATAAAAATCTGGCTTGTAACTTGGTACGATTTATTGTGTTTCTAAAAGAAAGGAGTTTGATAGAGTCATCAAAATAATTGGAATGGCTTGAAAACGCCAGCATAGTTAGATTGACCAAGACCAAGGCGTAGCAGTATTTGTATAGAATTAGAGGCATCTGAAGATAGTTTTTATATGCACCGAATTATATTGTGAACAATTTATACTTACGTGTTAGAACCGATAACAATATTAACAAGCAAGGGATTTTTCACAAAACAACTATTCACTCTACGTATATCATATACCCCCATACCCTAGTGAAATACTAGGTTTCCTCGATTGATTCTAAATATTTACAGATGGGGATTTTGTAAAAGATTGGAAATCTTTGAATATAAAATTTTCCCTTTAGAACTTAAATTGAAAGCAACTCCGTCCCACCTAAAATTCTATGAATTCTTTGATGGTTAGAATAGATATGTAGATTAGACCAACTGATCCATTTTAAATTTAAAAGATTTCTATTTCTTTTTTAATTGATCGTGTTGGAATTTTATAGTGAGTTTGAAAGTTTTCTTCCATCCCACATCGATAGAAATGCAAACATTAAATGGCCTTTTTACATTCAAGTGGATGTTGAATGATTTGTTGGATTTTGATAGGGCTTATATAAAAAGTGCAAAGCACATGCGCGTGTAGCCGAGGGCGGGGTCGCATAATTTGTGAAGTGGCACAAAGAATGATATACATACGTTTTATACATGGGTAGTCGTATAAAACCTTTAAGGACAGTATTATATTTATCTGAGTGGTTTGTTCTACATCGTCTACAATTTCTAGATTGGTTTTAATATTTTCAGCACTGTATATAATTTCAATCATTTTGTGAAAGATCTGCTTCTACTACTTTCTTTAATTACATCGAATTTAAATCTATAGCGGAGGATAAATTTGATTGTTGTGGTATAAAATCTGACTATGCGATATAAATTCTGGTTTTTTAAGGTTGACATTGCGGTTTTATCAATTTATAAGTAATAAAGTTTCGATATTTGTTAACAAAATTTCCATCTTTATTAATTTCAATTTTTATTAATAAAGTTTGATCTTTATTATAAAAGTTTTGTTTTGTTTAAACGTAACAACTTGTTCTGTTAATTCTATAACCTTTTTCATTGATTTATAGAAAGAATCTTAGGTTTCATTTTTTCAAAATAACCTATTTGAAGATCTATTTATTTTACCATAACATACAATAACCCTTTGATGTCGTATTTGAATCTAAGCCAACAAATTCAGCTCATTGCCTCTATGTTATCCATGCAAATGCCCTGAATCCAGTTGACGTCCAACGTCAAAGGAGGAGATCCTGCTTCTTCCCGAATGCTAGACACCGTCTCCAACTCTTTAAGAGCAGCTTGTGGAATAGAGAGAAAGAATTGATCCGGACGGATAATTCTTGCAACCAACCTTCTCATTGTCTCACAAGTATTATAAGTACCATCTCTGGATGAGTGGTACACGATTTTAGATCTCATATCTTCTAAAGCATGTTTGTCCTTTTATGTATATTGTAGTTGACAAGTTATTATAAACAAGCTAGATTTAATTTGATTATATTAATCCGATTAAATATCACAAAATCAAATATAATAATTAAACATTTTAATTATTTATTCTTCTTATTCAGATATACATTTTATGTGTGTGACCAACTGACCTGCTATTTATAACTATAAATGAAAAACGCTATCTAGCAATACATCATTGTTACTCAAATGGTAAAGTTTGATGATTCAGCTAATCAACAAACTTTTTTGATCATTTATCAGTAATCATATTTATATCTATGTTCCTTTGTCATCAATATCTATATTTAACACGAGGCATGAATGTGTCATCCTCGTTATATTCGATCTTTAGTTTCTCAATTCCGGAGTATACTAATAAAACAAATATCAGTATCTTATATTGACTATCTGAGCATGTATGCATTTCCTCAACATTATTCAATCGAGGGGCCCGAAGATATCATTTTTGTCATCCAAGAGACACAAATCCTATCTTGATTCATGCTAGTACTAATAAGTAATAATGTGGCATGACCAACAACCATTCTGTCACCCAGTTATGGAATGATTAGAATCAGTTATCAAAATAAACCACTCACACAGAGCAAACTACATAATCTCAAGTCAAAGGACTATATGTCCAACGGCCAAATGAGAAAGTTTGTGACATTAATATGACATCCAGTGAAACGTTCTCATAGCGAGTCATGTCCGGTATGCAAGGTCTCATCTTGTACCCATTTATGGATTCTATATCTTCACATGAATCCCTGCATATACTAGTAATATCATATTGATTCAACCTAAACCTGAATTAATATTTCACTAGGGACATTTTATAATTCCATATTATTGAGGTTATTATTACGTTTAGGTATAACATAGAATAGTACATTAAAGTAATACTTGCACAATGCCTTTCATTTAATAAATACGACATAATGTCTAAACATAATCATCCGATAATTAGTTTTTGGGCAATATACATCAACAATAGTATCATAAGAATGAAAGAATGTTATTTCTTGGTCATTGGATCCACAAGGGTGTGTTCCAGATGGATCAAGAGAAAATTAGGTTTGTCTGTGCCAAAGGATAGAGCAAGCAACAATATTGCTTTCGTGTAACATGTTATGGTCTCAACGCTCTTACGAGGTAGCGATGAGTTTGATGCGCTCTAAGCTTGGCCCATACACGGTTAGTAAGATTGGCTACAATCTAAACAGTAGTCACACATCATTTTCTGATTACTTAAGGTCTTTTATTTTCTATTTTTATTGGCATTACTACTGTGGGATTTCATTAAACCTCCATCAGGATTGGATCCTGATAAAAGTAACAAGACAAGTATATTCTAAATCTTGAGACGAAAATTTCTAAACATTCTCTTAAATCTGACTACTTGTCATATTCTAAACGACTAATAAAAAAATATTAGGTGGCAAGTTAGATTTGTTTACAAAGTCTACTATTTACATGCTATTGGAAGTCGAATGCATTCTATAGAAGCAACTTGAAAAAGGTTTTAAGCCGAAAAGCTTCTAAACTTCCATGTTGGAATTTTCATGGAGTGAAGGGAGCATTCGGTTGTCGTTTAGCATCCTGTCTCATTGAGATCGACATCATGTGAGCGCCATGCATATTGAACTCCCATCGAGGAAATGAGGGCTTTCAAATTGGATCGTCGACCGATGTGTTGAAAACAAAACTTGGAAATGCTGTGGTGATGTCCCTGAATGATCATCAAAACATTAACCGTTAACCACAAGATCATGTTACTATGAAAATTATACTCCGACATGCGAGGATATGTGGAACCTCATATTACCCTCCAAAAAGAGATATTGAGGAGAGAATGAAGATTCCAACATATATTGATGGTCCATGTTTAGCTGATGTGGACACTAAAATGCCCCCTCCAATAAAGACTATACGAGCACAGATTGTCCCGTAGCGTCATGAGGGGGCTAGGTGGGTATAGATCTTCCCAGAGTGTTAGGTCCCTAAAATGGTAGACCTTGTTTCGATACCATGTGAGAATACATGAAACCCCCCAGATTACTCTCCAAAAGTACCCTTAGGAGAGACTGAAGGTTCCAACATATATTGAAAAGAAACGGTCCAAGGTTGGTCAACATGGGACTCTAACTTGCCCCTCTAATGAAGGCTAGATGGGCACACATTGTCCCACAACGTCACGACGGCGTGGGGCTAGGCAGGTGAGGGGGTAACACGAGTACAAAGTGTCAAGTCTCTAAAATAGTAGACCTTGCTCAAATACCATATGAAAATACATGGAACCCCCGATTACTCTCTAAAAGTGTCCTTAGGAGAGAATGGGGGTTCCAACATATATTAAGAAGAAAAAGTCCAAGTCTAGCCGATGTGGAACTCTATATGCCCTCTCCAATGAAGGCTAGATGCGCACATATTGTCCCGTAGTGTCATGAAGGGGCTAGGTGAGTGAGGGGGTTACACGAGTACAAAGTGTCAAGTCCCTAAAGTAGTAGACCTTGCTCTGACACCATATAAGAATACGTGGAACCCCCAAATTACTCTTCAATAGTGCCCTTGAGGAAAGAATGGAGGTTCCAACATATATCGAGTAGAAATTATCCAAGTCTATCCAATGTATGTAGGACTCTTAACAACTACTATTGATCAAGAAATGAATATCAAATTGTAGTAGAAGCAGAGGAGCATACACAAGGTAAGGAAGAGTCATGTTCTTCAAAAGGCTGGGGTTGCGAAGGACAAATTCCTTCCATTCCTCTTTGCAGATTTTACCATCTCCATCAGCATCGGCATCAACAAATGTCTGCAAGAGGGATGACGATCTATTGCCAAATCTAGTGTAAAATACAAGAGAAACTGAACAAGTTTGAGAAGCACTTACTTTGTCGATAATAATCTCAAGAAGTTCATCTGATAAATTCATCTCGGATTCTGTTAGAATCGTTATGAGCATCTGCTTGACCTATTAGAAAAAAAGATGCAAAATAAATCAATGCATGATATTGATCAGGTGCTCGAATCTCGTGATCAAGAATACTTTCTTTACCAGTTACGACTCTAGCCCTGCACCCGGAACAACATTCATGAAGTCAGATTTTAAGTACTTGGACTAAGGGGCCGTTTACCAAACACTTACCAATAAGAGTCACCATTAGTCCATTCTCACTTATCTTACCGGGTAAGATTTTCGGTCATCATATCTTGACCGGGTAAGAGAAAATTTTATGATGCTATTTTGATGACCGGGTAAGATGAGGATGGTGACTCTTACCCGGTAAGTGATTACCTGGTTAGCATAGTAAACGGCCCTAACTATCATAAGATATTCTAGCAATATAACACACTTCAAGAGGGTAAACTCTTTGCATAATAGCAGTAAGGAGTTTTAAACTGCAAAAACAAAATTTTAAAATTTATCCTTGGGTTACAGTCCAAAACTTCAATTTACATATCATGAATGTTGGTATTCAACAGGTGAAGACAACTTGTCATACAGCCCAAACTATCATGGGCATTGCAACAAACATGGAAGAAAAGAACTTTCATATGCAGGTTAACTGGAACTATTACTACTACTCCTTCCGTACCAAAATAAGTGTCCAATTTCTATTTTAGTTTGTCCCAGAGTAAGTGTCCACTTTTAAAAGTAAGTGTCTACTTTTCAATTCTACTTTTAATTATGAGATGGAGAACTTCATTACTCCCTCTATTATTAAAGTTAAATTGTCATTTGATTAATTAAAAAATATTATTGAAGTTAAATTGTCATTTGACTAATTAAAAAATATTATTGAAGTTAAATTGTCATTTGATTAATTAACAAGTATTATTGAAGTTAAATTGTCATTTGATTAATTAAAAGGTGTAATAACTACTCATTTCTAGAACTGTATCTTTTCTATTGTGGGCATTTATTTGGACGGAGGGAGTATTACAGTATACTCACTTCTTCTCGTTCAATAAACCCCGTCTGTCTCAGATCATAGAGCCTAAAAGCAACTGCAGAAAACCAACAATTAGTGATTACATTGTTTACAGGATATAATTTGAATGTGTATCAACAGTCCATAACATCTTACAGTTTATTTTATCTTCTACAGGCGCGTAGGGATGGAAGACACTGAGAGCATGGACAAATTCCTCGAATTCAATCACACCATTTCTCTTTTCGTCAAAAAGATCAAAAACCTAGAAACCATAAGAGCATTTTTGTATATGCATCACAATCAACACATCAAGAGATGAATCTTTTTCAGATGCTATGACATGCATGGCAGAAATATAATCAACATGAACAAGTGGCCATGTTAATAAGTTCAGCAAGGAGGATTGGAACTTTCCATTGACAAGTCGACTACAAAAGGTTATGGATTGATTTAGAACTTTCACATTCTAGTGTAGTTGTTAGGTTAGTTCTTACTTCATTAGTTGATAACATACTCATATTTTAATGTATGTTTTCCAGGTTAACTTGTATGCAATGTAAACGGTAGGGATGTAGGTAGGACAACTGGCCAAGATTAGCATAGGATGGATTTGAATTGGTGGATCGGCCTTAGATAGAGAGGGTGAAAAGATGCACTTCATGTCCTTGAGCCTCACACGCTTAATTTGTGTTGCAGACCTGTAAGGTTCTTATCGTTCTGTTGAGCCATATTAATGTATGATCTACAAGTGAATATAGACACATATTATTGAAAAATCAAATGAAATGATATAATGCTTATCAAGAGCGTTATTGCATGTTTGATCATAACAAGCTCTTTGTTCCAAACTCGATGGGGTACGCTAAAAATGGAACTCAAGGGAACTTTTCTTACAATCCTGTTAGTTCAGGAACAAATAGGTCAGAGCACCATCTGTACACTATCATATGAATCTTTGGTGGCATTTGGTTTTAAGAATGTTTTTGGATGGAATGGAATCTGTCAAAGGAATTTGATTTCGAAGAAATTGGAATGGAATGTTGTTAAGTTTGACCACCTGTTTGGTTGACAGAATTGAAATGAAATTTGTTAAAGGAATTGGAATTTGAAATTCTGGTAAATGACTAGAATAGAATACCCTTTTTGATAAATTAATTTTTTTAAACTAAAAATATTTTAAAACTAAAAATACTTTAACAAAATAATCATTAAATATTTTTATGTGTAAAACAATATAAAAATACACAACCCAAATATAACCATAAACCAAATGACGTTATTAAATTGATATTAAAATTGTTTCAAAATCCATCAAACATGTTCAAAATAATTACATGCCACCGTTATTAAACAATCGTACATATGACGCCAAAATACCAAAGCATGTTCAAAAAGCCATTAAGCATCATGGTTCTCAAAAAAAGAGCTAAATCATCAAGCCCAATCATCCTTGCAAAATATACCTCGCAAACTCTTCTCGAGCTTCTCCTTCATAGTTCCAAAAGCTTAACATGAATTCAGGTTCACGTGTTATTTTTCTCAATGCTGTAAACTTTTCCATTGAAGTAAGATTCATTTTGGCAAGTTCAGAACCAACCACGGAAGTCTTTTGATGTAAATCCATCTCAACTTGCACCAACTTGTCCAATGTTTTTTAAAGTCTATCTCCAAGTATGACAACAACATTATTTATTGCATCAACAAGAGGATCGCCTCGACCCTTGTGCTTCCTACTACCTTGAGATGTACACTCTTGATTTGGCATTTGACTATCTTCTGTCGGATAGCCTATGTTTTCATCGGATTGTGTTCTTGACTAGGCATCTAACTATCTTCCATGTCAGCATTTTCTTCTAAACTGTCATAATCTCTTGCTTGATTTCCGTGAGCACGATCTTTTCCAAAAACATAAGACAAGATTTCATAATGAGGAAATGGTTTGTTTCTCCATTTTGAAGCCTCTTTGTGTACCTAAATTTGCAAAAGACATAGAAACGTTGAAAAAATAATTCTTAACATGGTAATATGAATACATAGTAATATGTACCTGTAGGTAAGATTCCCACACTGACGCCTCGGCAGTCACACACATTTTAGAACTATTGTAACCAAAACCACTTGTGTTTGTACCATGTAGCATATGATGTATGATTTGCCAATCCTTTTTCATGGTCTTTATTCTTGACTCGATGTGTGGTTTACCTAATATATTAGAATCAGGAAGCGACACTTTCAATGCTTGTTCCAAATGTTGCAAGTATCCGGATTTAAAGCCATTATCAGCTTTATATCCTCCAACATTGACCATATTCACCAATGCACCAACAAGTTTGCCGTCTTCGATTTTCGAACAATTTTGGTACTTACGACCATTGTTTTTATCTGTCATATGGTCAATGTTGCAGGATATAAAGCTGATAATGGCTTTAAATCCGGATACTTGCAACTTTTGGAACAAGCATTGAAAGTGTCGCTTTCTGATTCTAATATTTTAGGTAAACCACACATCGAGTCAAGAATAAAGACCATGAAAAAAGACTGGCAAATCATACATGATATGCTACATGGTACAAACACAAGTGGTTTTGGTTATGATAGTTCTAAAATCTGTGTTCTACCAAGGCGTCGGTTTGGGAGTCTTACCTGTAGGTACATATTACTATGTATTCATATTACCATGTTAAGAATTGTTTTTTCAACGTTTCTATGTCTTTTGAAAATTTAGGTGCACAAAGAGGCTTCAAAATGGAGAAACAAACCATTTCCTCATTTTGAAGACTTGTCTTATGTTTTTGGAAAAGATTGTGCTCATGGAAATCAAGCAAGAGACTATGACGGTTTAGAAGAAAATGCTGACATGGAAGATAGATAGATGCGCCTAGTCAAGAACAACAATTTGATGAAAACATGGACCATCCGACAGAAGATAGCCAAATGCCAAGTCAAGAGTGTACATCTCAAGGTAGTAGGAAGCACATGAGTCGAGGCGATCCTCTTGTTGATGCAATAAATAATGTTGTTGTCATACTTGAAGATAGACTTTAAAAAACATCGGACAAGTTGGTGCAAGTTGAGATGGACTTACATCAAAAGACTTCCGTGGTTGGTTCTGAACTTGCCAAAATGAATCTTACTTCAATTGAAAAGTTAACAGAAGAGTTTGTAAAGTATATTTTGCAAGAATGATTGTGCTTGATGGTTTAGCTCTTTTTTGAGAACTATGATGCTCAATGGCTTTTGGAACATGTATTCGAACATGCTTCGGTATTTTGGCGTCATATGTACGATTGTTTAATGATGGTGGCATGTAATTATTTTGAACATGTTTGATGGATTTTGAAACAATTTTAACATCAATTTAGTAACGTCATTTGGTTTAGGGTTATATTTTGGTTGTGGTTTTTATATTGTTTTACACATTAAAATATTTAATAATTATTTAATTAAAGTATTTTTAGTTTTAAAAAAATTAAATTAATTAATAATTATTATATTAAAGTATTTTTAGCTTAAAAAATTAATTTATCAAAAAGGGTATTTTTAGTCATTTACCAGAACTTCATTTCAATTCCAAAGCTACATTTTGTGAACCAAACAGACAGATTCTAATTCCTTTAACATATTCCTTCCAAATTCTGCCAACAAAACAGGTGGTCAAACCTAACATTTCATTCCAATTCCTTCAAAGTCAAATTCTTTTGACATATTCTATTCCATCCAAAAACATTATGTAAAACAAACGCTACCTTAGAGGTTCCATCAAAGTGTGCTGGATGGCCTACTAGCGAAATGAGTTGTTGAAAGTGTGCACTCCTTGACTGGCCATCAAAAACCTGTTGTAGAGAGGTCCTTGGAGATATCCCATGTAGGAGCAAGTTGTTGCAAAGGATCATTAACTGTGTACATTTTGCAGCACGGTTTCTTCCTTTTACAGTAAATCATATATACAGAGAGGGATTACTTTCCAAGAATTTATCATCGGGGCTTATTGCTTCTTTTTTTAGGGCTAGGCCATCCATTTCATCTAATACGTATCTAGAAGGTTAGGCATATACCCAGGCTTCATCGATTTATATTTTTGCATCTAGTAAAGATGCATGTCGTAAGGTCATAAATGAGCCAAATTCTGTTTAGCGGGTGTTGAATTTAAAAAAAAAAAAGGGTTTCCCCTTGGAGCATCTAATGGCGCATGTGCTTGGGTGTATATTGACTTAACTATACTAGGGACCCTAATCAAAATGGTATTAAAGACGAAGCATAGTGATCCCACAAATTTCCAGTGAACTAAAGGTCAAACTGGGTTCATTTGGTTTGGTTTGGTTTGGTTTGGTTTGGTTTTGAAGTCATAGCGATAGACAGGAAGTTTAGAAAGAGCATGATAATTCTGAAAGACGAGAATAAAAATCGCTTTAGTTTGGTCAGCTTTCAGTTCAAGCTGCATCTCATATTTTAAAATGAGTTTCCAATATTGCTAATTAACATCATTATGGTGTATTGTAAAAAACAATAGATGGTTGCAGGCAAAACAAACATTATCAGTAGTAACCATGCAGATAACAATGATGTTCCAGTGAAAAAGCAATACACATTAAAAACTAATATGCATGATTTCAGGTGAGTTGTTTCTCACAAAAAGAATAGAGGAAGAGATGTTTTATAAAGATCTGAAATAGGGGCAGTTACTTGGGTGCTTATTGTATGCTTTGATTTCACATACTGGATAACAAAAGCCTAATTGACTTCTTTTCTTCACATTTTTAGCCTTGCATAGTGTAGAAAACAAAAAGCATATCAGGCCTATGTTAAGAGAGGTCCCAGGTTCGAATCCAAGGAAGAATAAAAATCCCCTTGTGGCCACGGAGGTTCAAATGCGGTGACTCCAGACTACCCGCAAAGCAGGTGGTCGCCCTTGGATTAGTCGGCTCACATAGTTTGTTGGATATCCAGGTTAATCAAAGAAAAGAAGGAACTCCCATGTATTATGAGGGACATGTGGAATCCACCACTAAAATATAAGCAAGGGTAGATAGGGAAGAACAGTTAAAAAGACCCTCTGATTTAGGAAAGAGGGAAAATAGTTGTGGACATCCAAAAAGGACTAGTTATTTTGCACAGAAGGAGAATTAAGAAAAAGAAGAAGAACACCAACATAAACACCAATTACATGCACAAGAAATATAGGACAGATTAAATTCAAGTTGTAACGGAGCAGTTACCCGATCCAAAAACAGATTCTCACCCTGTGGGGTATTGAATAGTGCTAGTCGGAGCTCTTCCTACATAAAAGTAACATTACGGAATTAGGTTTGCCTTCCAAACAACGATGTAGTAAGCGAGCATAACCGTAACATAAGATAAGAAATCAATCAACTTTGTTCCTTTTCTCATTCTAATACAACCAGCGAAACATAGACACAGATATAGAATGTTGTTCTTAAATTTTAAAAGATCTGCAAACCAAAGTACAAAAGAAAAAACATTTATTGTATATGTATAAAAATTGATTATAAAGAAAGCCAGCAACAATATAGGGAACAAGGCTAACATCCAAATCCATGGTGATTTGTTTTCAGGTGGATGAAAGAATTTGCATTTCCATTATGTATAGTAGAGGGGAAAAGCAATGGACAACTATCCCCAAAAATACTCCATCCCTGAGGTCCTAAGGTTTAAAGTGTCACATACAAGCACACCAAAGTACATGACATCAACAAAACAATGTACCTCCACAGACTAGGGCTGTAATATCTTATCAAATTGTAGGCTAGGGACGTAAGTCATGAAATTCCAAATGACCCAACCTAAAAATCTTAAGAAGTCCTTGAAGAAAAAGGGTAGCAAGGAATTAAACATAAAACACCTATGAGACAGTATATCATTGGTCATAACAAAAAAAAGCAAGTTGTAGGCATCACCTATAATAGATGTCGGATTCTCGTGTTCAGCATTACTTTGTGGAGGTGTATATTTACAAGATCATTGATATTACATGCTACTGCTAGTACGCATAAAAACAATAAAATCATGTTACCTAATGCATTTGCCTAATCAATGTGAAAGCGAGTAATGCATTATTCAGACGTCCCAATAATATATAGAATACATATTAGGGCCCACTCGCCAAATACATACTTTTGCTAGCAAAAATAAATGACAAAAGACCATTTAACTTGAAAGCTCGATAATCATATGGGGAAGACAAAAGACAAAGATACACACTGTTGTTAGCTAAAATAACATTTAGTTTACCTTGTGTATCAATCCATCATCAATAATTGAGGAACTCAAGTTCTTATACAGTTCGAAAAGTGCCTCCACTTCATTGACACTAACTGCAGAAGGACATAGATAACAGGTAAAAAGCAGTCCTTGAACCCTTTTTAGCTCAGGCACAAAACCTTACCATAATATGGCAACAGAATTGCTAGGCATGAGAATGGTGCCATTAGAACATATAGTTCGAATCAACGCAAATTAACCCATTATGATAAAACTTCAAGGAAAAAGGTAAGTTGCAGCTTAAAGCCACTATATTCACCACTCACCAGGTGGGACTCCCTAGACATACAAATTTACTAATTTCTTAGTACAATAGATGGTTAGATACCATTACGCTAATAGAAAAAGGGAAGGAACTCCATTCGGTTGCATAAAAACCCTTACTTCACCTCAATCAAGGTATCCCCTCCATTACTGTTTCAAAATTTTACGAAAGGTTTGGCAGCCACATTCAGTTTCATAATAAATACAAGAGATCTCAAAAGAGAAAGGTTTGGCGTTTGATCTTTATTCTTCAGATTTTTTCTTTCTTTAAAATTTGAAGCAAATACAAAAAAAAATTAAGCAAATTAGCTGATGCTAGTTCAGTGGACGTTTTTGGCCTAAATCCTGGGACTGTTAAGCATGAAGAAGAAAGTCAAGATGCAATTTATGATATCTACTTTTCAAAAACCCATTTGGACTGAAACGTCAATTCTGAATTACAGGAAGGTTTTCATGGCACCTCAAGAAGAGTAAAACCTAAAAGAGATAAGAGGTCAAACACTTAATTCCTTTTTTTTATTTTATTTTTGAGAGACTTTCTATGTCAGATGCAAGAAATTGGTTAGCATTGCTGGTTTCCAAATCATCGAGCAGGGAAGCTAAACTGAGCAACAACAAGAGCAAAAAAAAAAAACTTACAATTAGAACCCAAAGCAAGCTGAGAAAGCTGATCATGATCAAAACAAAGCTTCTTAGTAATAGAACGCCTGCGGGTTTGGTAATTGAAGCAACCAGAGACGGCGAACAATAAGATTTCAGCTATGGCCACAAATGGTATAAATGCAGCACACAGCTTCTCACCAATGGTCAATGAGTTCCATCTCTGCCCAAATTGAAAACAAAAATTCATCCAAAACACAATGATCGAAACAAAAAGAGATCATATATAAATAAAAGAGAGATTTGTACCGATGATTTATTGGATGCGTTCATCATGCTCCTAACGCAAGATGATTTGAGATTCTTTCTCCAAAATCTCTCTCGAAAACCATTGAGAGACAGATATGGAAAAAAGTTGGAGTAACAGAGACATTAAGATCAATTAGTGAGACGATTGACAATGAGACAGGAAATGGTGAGACGACAAGCTAAGGCCATCCATTAATTTGGAGCTTTTGAGATGAGTACTACCATTTGTGGGGGAAAAAAGAAATTAAGGTGAGGAAAAGAATGAAAAAATGGAAACTATTTTTTATTTGTAATTTTAAAAAGGAAAGAAAAAAGAAACGTTTTTTTTTCATGTTGTTAAAATCGAGAAAACTCTTATATCTTGTTTTGTTTGCAGAATTTAAAGTAATTCTAATGAATTTTTGTATTCAATTTTTTTTTTTCACATATTGAAATAAATAAAATCTTTTATTGTTTTAATTTATTAAACAGATTGTATTTTATTCCTGTCAACCAAACACTAGGTCAAATCAATAATATTTCATTTCAATTTCTTCCAGATTCCAATTCATTTGACAGATTTCATTTTTTCAAAATTCATTCTGCGAACCAAACACCTCCTTAGTCTGTTACCGTCACACCCCACCTATAACCTTCCAACTCCACATCATTGCTATCATTATCATACTGCCACCCACCCAACTCCAACCTCCATACTACGGCCATGCTACTACTGTTATTGTCACGCTCCACCCCCAACCCCAACCCCAACCCCAACCCCAACCCCAAAACAACCACACCACTACTATCCCCATCACAACCACCACTCACCCATCCTACCCCAATCCACCATTGGCCAATATTGTAATGGTGGAAAAAGATATGGTTTTAATATAATTAAAATTTTAATTTAAAGAAATCAAATCATAAAATTATATCTTATTTTATTCGTTTTAAATAAAATTAGATATGGTTTTATGATTTGATTTGTTTAAATTAAAATTTTAGCTATATTAAAACCATATCTTTTTTCATCATTACAACAAAATAATAAAATTAAATCGTATTTAATATAATTAATTTTAAAAAAAATTAAGCAAATCAAATCATACAATAGTTTTCTATTTTATTTATGTTGATATCGTTATATATATATATGTGTATATATATATATATATATGTGTGTGTGTATGTGTGAAAATATTGTTTTATTTGTTTATAGGAAAATGACAAAAGAATAAGCAAAAGCTAAAATGGCCCTTTAGATGTTTTGTAATTCGGATTATTTGTTTTCTTATTATTTTCAGAGTCTTTTATCACTTAATAAGATCTGAATAAATAAGAGGTAAACTAATATTTTAATTCATCTTATTTCCTTTTTTCTTTGATTCTCTTTGGTGATTGTTTCTTTCTTTACCACGGACACCAGCGTCCTTTGATCACTCATGTGAAATGCACACCCCTACCTTTTCTCTCTAGATCTCTTTCTTTCTCTCTCTCTCTCTCTCTCTCTCTCTCTATATATATATATATATAATTTCTGTACATATAGGTCATCTTAGAAGATTAATGTGAAACAAGAATTTCTATCGGCTATCTATCATCTATCAAAAATATCGACCCTTCCACAAACAAACTAACGGCGGCATCTCCCATAGCATCGAAAGTTTGCAAGGTATCCAAAATGTTCTTCCTGTGTTCCATCTGTTAAGCAATTGTTTAGATGAATTTCGACAACGAAAATTTTATGAAAATCAAGAGACTTTTGCAAAATGTTTGCATCTGATTTTACAAAAATAAACTAATGATTCAGATTTCACACTTCAGACGTTTGTCAGTTTACAAAAATAAATCGTTTTATTGATTCAGATTTCAAACTTTAACACCACCTCTTATTAATCAGAACTGATAAGACTTCAGACTTCAACAGCTCTTGAAAAACAAACGTCGCCTTAGTCAAAGTAACCATGGTCAAGACAAATTGAATACCATAAGGACAAATCCACAATAAACATATTATAGAGACCCTAATAAAAAAAATATCAAACCAAAAGGAGCAAATCTACAATTCGGTCTATAAATTTACTTTATGTTTTATTTATACAACTAATTTTTATTTTATTTTATTTATTTGTCAAATCTCAATACATATACTTTATTTTTATAATTATATAGTTATCAGAAAAATAAAGTTTATATAATTAAATAAAGTAAAAAAAAAGAGTAAAAAAAAAGACTTCATCGTAAATATTTTATTTATATTATTTTTATAATATAATTAAGAAAAAATTAATGTCTACATTAATTGAAATTACATTAGAAAAAAAAATTAGTTTTCATATTATTAATAATTCATATTAATTAAAATATAATAGAAATAAATAAAAGCAAAAAAGGAGAAAAAAACAAATTAATAGTTTGTGTTGTTTGTTTACCTCTTAATAGTTCCATTAAGAGGTAACCTCTGAATCGTTAAGAGATGAATCTTGTTTGGCAAAAAAAAAAGTTTGCCTCTTAATGGTTCTAAAACCTCTGAATTATTTTGTATCTTGGATCTTCTTTAACCATTGAGAGCCCTAATTTCATTGTACACAATTACCACGCAATTATATTTCATTTTGCACTATATCATGAGAGTCTCTTAATCATTCTGACCACTTAATCATTCTGCACCAAACCATTCAACAATTACCAAACAGCTCTTATACAAATAAATAAATGAAAAGAAAAGACAAAATAAATAAAAGACAAAAAATTCAAACAAAACAAAAAATAGGTCGATAAGATGCATTTGGCAATAATTGCAGGTGTAATTAGCCTTTCTTATCATTGAAAATTTGTTAAGAAATTTAGGAGAAAAAAGTAACAATGTCGAGTACAATATTACATCATCTTCAATCATTCGCATTACTTATTGCATTTAAATGATATAAAATTTGGTAGAATAAGTAGTTCAATTTCAACCAATTATAAAATGTTAACATTAAATAGAAATTCAAAGTATATTTCTTATTAGTAATACGTATTATATTTATTTGTTAAAATAACTTTGTAGATTATAATACTATACAATTGTAATATAATAAATTATTCAAATGTGAGATATCTCAAATTCAACTACGATTCACCAACATTTTAATACTGAAGTCTCATGATGTCATCTTATGAAATTTGTTTTGCAAAAATAAGGTCATTCAAGTAAGATAGCCTTATGAGTCAAGTCTCATGAGTTGATACAATTAATTTCATTCTTCTTTCTTATACACATCTCTTTATTCCAATTTTTCAATCTCTCATCAATATGAGATATCTTAAACTCAACCACAATTTACCAACGCCTCAATACTCAATTCTCATGATGCCACTTCAATACTTTTGGTTCTTCTTTTAATATTTGTTTGGCAAAAATAGGGTCATCCAAGTTAGATGAACTTATCAGTCATACCTCATGAGTTGACATAATTAATCTCATCCTTTTTTTCTTATACACACATCCTTATTCCAATCTTTCAATCTCTCACTAATGTGTGATATCTCAAACTCAACCACAATTCACAAACACCTCAATACTCAATTTTCGTGATGCTACATCATACTCTTGGTTCTTTTTTATATATATATATATATATATATATATTAGTTTTTTTTTCTTTCAAATTCGAACCATTTATTTGTTACAATAACTTTGTAAATTATAATATTATGCAATTGTAATCTAATAAATTGTTCTTACTTATAATAATTTCAAGTTACATTATTAACACCATTTATCTATACTACATTAATAAGCATTTAGACCAAAAGTCTTAATTATAAGTCTTAAAACATAAAGTACTATCAATTTATGCAAGAGATTCAAAGATCTCTTAAGTACAAACTATTATGCATAATGTACAAATGCTTAAAACATACTATTTGTTTGGTCAAAGTTTCATATTTAAGTAAGTCATATTTACATGAAAAATATATGTTTGGTCTTCCCAAAGTTGTTTGACACTTTGTTTATTTCCTATTTTGAACCCAAATTCAAATTTAAAGTTCTTCTTTCTCTTAAAGTAAACTGAAATTTGAAGCAACAATATTAGAAAGAGTTTTAGATCCTGCATATACCCCACCCCAACCCTTCAACTTTATATGGTTTAGAAACTCAACATATGTGCAATTATTTTTCCAATCGATCTTCCTAATACACCATATTAACCTTCAACTTTATATATTAGTTTACTTGTAAAATAACCACACAAATTCATGATTCAAGGCTAAACTAATGTTTCAAAATTGTGATTCACCTGCCCTGCATCGCACGGGTACACCACTAGTACAAATAATATACATGTTTTTAAATTTGTCCTCTTTGGTTAGATTACTAGTACTATGTGTTATTAATTTTTTTTCCTGGTTATGTATCTTTTTATATCTTATGATCGTGTGTGTGTATATATATGTATAGAGGCCTAATCAAATGAGAATTGTAGTTTGTGGTAACCGTGAGATTCAACGTGGACCAATCATTTAGAATAGTTAATATGATTTCTTAAAATAAATATAAGGGTAAATTAGTAAATTGTACTGAATAGGCAAGTTACTTTAATTAGTTTAGAATTCTAACTTTGCATTTAAGTCTTTTCTCTCTCTCTCTCTCTCTCTCTCTCTCTCTCTCTCTCTCTCTCTCTTTTTCTCACAAACAGATCAATTCCTTGGTAGGGTTTCAACAAGATCCACCACCTCTTCCTCCTTTACCATCTGTTCCAACCATTCACCCCCTTCTTTAACCGTGAACCAGATCAGAAGTTCTTCAAACACCATCAGAACGATGGAAGAAGTTTGGAAGGATATCGAAGGTCTGCAACGTTTCTTTTTGTAAAAATCGTTGGTCTAGAAATCAAAGATTATATGTATTAAGGTTTAGTATCACAGTGGTAATATAGTTGGTGTTAGTGGTATCACAGTGGTACCCCAATTGGTACTACATTCAATATCATAGTGCATCTTGTATGTATTGTTGGTATTACAACGTGGATCGTCTGTATGTATCTCTTAAATTTATAATGGATTTGATTTTGGTTTCTTTTTAAGGTTTGAGTTGGTATCATAGTTGGTTTCACAACAGTATCATAGTGATATCACAATGAGTATCATTTGTGTATCTTTGTGATTACTTGGTACCGGCCAAAATAATTTTCACCAGAGGTCGGAGAGCAGAGAGAGAAGTTTTTAAAAATACTTAGAATGCCCTCTAATTATAATTTTAACT